GCGTAGAAAATAACACGTGGAGTTACTGGTTTGAGAATAGGCACCAGAACGATATAACTGCTATTATGTTTGCAAAGAAAAATTAGACTAGCATGACACTTCTGTCGAAACTGGACCATCAGAACAACACGTGTCGTTCTGCCTATATACGTTTCATATGTTGTTTCTTAGGTTGGGAGGTCCAATCCTTGAGGTCATTCTGAACTCAGTTAAGCTACAGGATGGAAGTGACGCTTACAAAGTTCGGGAGATGTGCTCAATGCTTGTACTTCGAATCGAATTTCGACCAAACATGTTGATGATAACGGCATAAGTGCCGTTACTATGAAAAAAAGGACACTTGTGCCCACAATGGGATAGAACATTTATTAGATGATTGTTGTACTACGTGTAAATAAAATTCAATGATAAAGGCACTTGTGTAGTTTGTGATTAGGAAAAGATTGCAAATGGACTCAACAGCGCAGAAAACGACACTTTAGCTGTTACTGGTTTGAGAACAAGCAAAAGAACGACAGAACTGTCGTTATGTTTGCAAAACGAAATTAGACTAGTACGACACTTCTGCCGTTACTGGACCATCATAACGATATTTCTGCCATTAAAATCGATTTTGAAGAGCCGCGACCCGTCCGAACCACGATAATCGATAAACGAAACCCATTTCAGTTGCAGGTTGAACGCGTCGCTTACAAAATTCTTGAGATATGCCCATTACTTGTACTTTCAAACGAATTTAGACTAAGACTTGTGTTTTCACCGTTTCGGAGCTTATATTTTATATCAATTCTATCGTTAGTTGTTACACAATCAACATTTTCGTCCTTCTTAGGTTGGAGGGTCCAATTCTTGATGTCTTTGCCTTGAAAAGTAGCAAATATTGGAAAAATTAACAGAACGACACATGTGTCGTTTAACGATACATGTTTCGTTCTGCCACTAAAATCGATTTTAAAGAGCCGCTACCCGTCCGAACCACGATAATCGATAAACTGAGCCCATTTAAGTTGCAGGCTCAACACGACGTTTACAAAATTCTTGAGATATGCCCATTACTTGTACTTTCAAACTAATCTAGACTAAGACTTGTGTTTTCACCGTTTCATACCTTATATTCTATATCAATTCCACCGTTAGTTGTCACACGATCAACATTTTCGTCATTCTTAGGTTGAGGGTTCAATCCTTGATGTCCTTGCCATGAAAAGTAGCAAAATATTGGAAAAATGAACAGAACGGCACAAGTGTCGTTAACGACACGTGTTATTCTGCCACTAAAATCGATTTTGAAGAGCCGCAACCCGTCCAAACTACGATAGTCGATAAACTGAACTCATTTAAGTTGCATGCTCAACACGCTGCTTACAAAATTCTTAACATATGCCCATTACTTGTACTTTCAAACGGAACCAAACTAAGACTTGTATTTTCACCATTTCATACCTTATATTCTATATCAACTCTACCGTTAGTTGTTACACAATCAACATTTTCGTCCTTCTTAGGTTGGGAGGTCCAATTCTTGATGTCCTTGCCTTGAAAAGTAGCAAAATATTGGAAAAATGAACAGAACGACACAATTGTCATTTAACCACACATGTGTCGTTCAGCTACTAAAATCGATTTTGAAGAGCCGTGACCTCGTCCGAACCATGATAATCGATAAACTGAACCCATTTAAGTTGCAGGCTCAACACGCCGCTTACAAAATTCTGGATTTATGTTCATAACTTAATCAAGAGGAAAAAAATGACACAACTGTCATTACGGTTTTGAAAACTGCCTAAGTGTCGTTCTGCCTCTAAACACAATTATGAAGAGCCGTGACCCGTCCGAGCCACAATAATGATAAGCTGAACTCATTTAAGTTGCAGTCTGAACACGCCGCTTACAACATTCGGGATTTATGCTCATTACTTAATCAAGAGGAAAAAAGAAAACGACACAACTGCCGTTACTGTTTTGAAAACGGCACAAATGTCGTTCTGCCTCTAAACACGATTATGTATAGCCGTGACCCGTCCGAGCCACGATAATGATAAGCTAAACTCATTTAAGTTGTCGGATGAACACACTGCTTATAACATTTGGAGTTGTACTCATTACTTAATCAATAAAAAAAAGAAAACGACACAACTGTCGTTAAACAGTATAACTGTCATTATGGCTTCATCGAGCCTAAGACAATTACATAATCCATATTTTCAAACATTATATATAGTTTGATTTTCAAAATGACAAAAGTAGTACATCGTAACATAACACCACCATCATTTTTCAATATTACAAAAACAGTACATCGTAACACTACAAAAGTCACATATGTGTTATCTTGTCTTCATTGTTCATGTCTCTCGATGAGTGGTACGCGATTTGTACAAGATAACGACTGTACTATCGTTCTACTCTACGTAAAACGGCTGGAGTGTCGTTCTATACTATAAACCGCCCAATAGTTACACATACTACAGAAATACACCAACTTTGGAAAAAAAAATCAGCTAAAATATCATTTCATACTATATTCAACAATAAAAAGATCAATGTACACAAGATTACCAAAAATACCTTTCTTTTTTCTTCAAATATTTAGAGATTTCGATGTAAATAATATAGAAACCAAAATTCTTATTCAAATAATCAAAATGTAGGAAAAGATAGGTGAGTAATATAATAAATAACAAGATTTTGTGAGGGAAGCAAGCACAGGAGACGGAGAGCTCGTTAATTGGATTGGAGATGAATTGGAAAATTTAATTGGATTAGAGTATTTGGGTCTTTTCATGATATTGATATTTTAGACCTTTTACACCTTTTATTTATTGTATTTTTTAATGGAGGTCATTTTACCAATCAACATTGAGAAAATGCTCTTTATTCAAATACATTGTTTGACTATACATTTTAACAAATAATCCCCAAGTAAAATAGGCAAACAATAAAGATATTTTGTACCAATTATCCCAAAACATGTGCCACTACGAAAAAGTAAAGAACTTCAGAAAAAGTCGCGTTCATTAACAAATATCGCACACCTCTCTTTACCTTCCTAAATTCCACTCGATCACGCGTACCATACTTTTCTCTGATCATCAAATTTACTCTGAAGAGGGAAAAAACTAAGCTTTTCTTTCCCTGATCGTTGAATTTTCTCTCAGATTTCAGATTTTTAGTTACAGAAAAAGCGATTGCAATAGAGAAATTCGAATGGGTCAAGCCTTTCGCAAGCTATTTGACACTTTCTTCGGCAATTCTGAGATGCGGGTATGCTATTTGACACTTTCTTCGGCAATTCTGAGATGCGGCTTGACAAATATTGCTGCTTCGCGTTTTGATTGTCCAGATTAAATTTGTTGCTATATGAAATATTTGTTTGCATAATTACTGAAATGTAGGTAGCTTACTTCTCAATTATAGGTTTCGGCTTTGATTGCAAGCATTTTGTTAGTGCTATTTGACTGCGAAATTCTATGGCTGCCTTCAGACTGATAATATTTGCATTCTCTATTAGCATCATTATCAAATTTAGAGATAAATTTTATTCACTGAGTCCTAATTATATACAGATTGAGATGAGTTCGGTTAGGAAAAGTATGGGTCAGAGTTTGCTAACAACTCAAGTGGAATTGAAAAAATGTAGCTAAAAATGGATACAAAAATTTACATGGTTCACCCAATTTAGGCTACTTGCCTTTGTCTTTGTCAGAAACTAGCCGACGACTGTATGGAAAATGGCTGACTACAGTCACTGAGCCCAGCTTGTAGCAAGTCAAAAGTTTGACTTGAACCTACTTTGCTAAGGGAAGAGAAAGTAGCCGGAAAATCCCCTTTCTTTATCAAATAAAGAGTATGCTCTTGTGACATAATACCTTCCATGGAAAAAGAAACTT